ATGTCTGATCTTCCCCCTTTGAAAATCACCATGCACATGGGTTGTGAGGGTGATAAAACATACAAACAGAACACAGCAGTGATCAGCTTATGGGAGAAACACAGGCTCACTGAAGATTTGAATACAGAACTGTTGACCAGAGTTATGAAAGCGTTCGTGCTGTGTCTGTGAGTTACAAGCTGTGTTTTGCTTTTGCCATGTAATCCATTTTGAAGTATGTACAAACTAGATCTGTGTCAGGAATCACAATTTCTGTTCCACAGGAAATTTCTGACATTCTGAAATTTTGTTTCATTCCAAATTGGGCTTAATAGCTGAAATGAACTCTTCAGTTTTACTTTTATGTTATATTAGAATATGTATTCTATATACATTATATCTAATATAATACAATACAATATTTTAACAATATAAAAGTTGAAACAAAATTAATCAAAATGATCATGATCAAACAAAATTTTTTGCCTTTTCCCCATAAACAATATTGAAATTCACATGTTCCTGTGAAACAGTTTGATTTTGATGAAACTGCATTTTTGATTAACAATTTTTTCATCAAAATTTTTTGACCAGCTCTTGTTCAGACTTTTCAATAAATTAGACCAAGAATTTAGTATCCTGTTTGTCAACCTATTTCCCCTCCCCAAAAGACTTCTCCTGGAGTCCTTTCCTGGACTCAGAGAAGCCATGATGCTTTGTAATTATTATCAAATCATCTCGTGAGTCCATTGAGGACAATATCAGTTTTGTCTTCAAGCCATTTCTCACTTGTACATGTCTGTGTATTTGCCATTCCTTAGTCTAGATGCTTAAATGATCCAAGCTTTTTTCCCCTCACAAGCATAAGCACTAACTCGTCAGATCAAGATTGCCCTTTACCTCATTACTGATGAGTCAGTTCTGAATATGTGCTTGTTTAGCTCATTGATGCTCATAGGGATTTTACATAAAAATAGTTCATGACTCTGGAAATTTCACAAGAACAAATGAAAAGGCTAACTCAAGACATTTCAATTTCTCTTGCTGAACTCAGGACCACTCCAGGAGAAATAATTCCTCTCAGCTCTCTGATTTCCCATCCAGAGGCTTCTGACAAAATCAATAAGTTACATTACCAAAGAGTCAGTCATAGCGGCTGCCTTACCACTCAGCCTGGTCACTTCAGAACAGGATCTGAATTTAAAACATCCCAGTCTCCACTCTACAGGGCAGAATAAAATGAGAGAGAGAGAGATATTCTAAATAGAGCTGGGTGGAAATTGTCTAAAGGAAGTGTTTCATCAGAATATGGTGATTCACCACAAGTGAAATTTTCACAGTAACATGCTGCCATTGATGAAAATTTGTTTTGAAATGTAGATTGGGGCGAAAAGCATCTTGATAAGGACAAAACGTTTTCAGAATGAAACATTTGTTTTAGTTTTTAATATGTTGTAATATAAAATAAGATGAAGCAAAAATGTCAACATTGGAACAATTTTGATGACCTTTTTGATTAACCCAAAAAGCATTTGTTTAAAAAAAAATCAGATTGTAGAGCATTTTGAATTTTTATTTATTTAGTCATTTCTGGAATGGAAGAGATTTTGAAATAGCTCAGCTTCTCTTGACATGAAAAATCTTGTCTTGATATAGCTCTACTGTGAAAGCTTAAATTCATTATGCTTCTGCAGTTATAAAACATATAACTGGGAAAGCATTAGACACTGAGAAAAGAAGACACATCATTGTGAAGATCTGTGTTTCTAATGTGACTAATGTGGTGAGAGATAGTAGGTGAGCACATAGTAGCAGAAAAATGCCCAAAGCAAAATATCATAAAACAGGCACAAAGTCCCGCTTAATCTCATAGTTTGCAGCTTCTCAGGTCTCTCAGTGGAAAACACAGAGCAAATGCCATTAAAAGGCCAGTCAGAACTGAGGAAATTCCATGCAGTGGCACTTGGAGGAATTAAATTTAAAAAGTTACATTACCAAAGAGTCAGTCATAGCGGCTGCCTTACCACTCAGCCTGGTCACTTCAGAACAGGATCTGAATTTAAAACATCCCAGTCTCCACTCTACAGGGCAGAATAAAATGAGAGAGAGAGAGATTCCATGCAGTGGCACTTGGAGGAATTAAATTTAAAAATTGATTTGCTGCAATCCTCTATGCAGTCAATAGAAAATAGGCTGCTAGCGACAAAGAACAGGCTGGAGAATGTGACAGTTAAATTACTAATCTGGGAAGCAGGACAGTAAAAAAACAGAACTGATGCAAATGATATTAAAGCAAAAGTTCAAGAACGTGAGAGTATCAGCATTTGCAAAAGCCAAACCCTTCTTTCTGAAAATGACACTGCTGTGGGGTGGTGTTCACAGATAGTGGAGATGAAATTGATATCCTATATTCCATGCATGACTGGCCTCTTATTGAGTAAAGAACCCACATCCTTTTGTTAAAAGTCTCAGGTTACACAGAAAACAACTTTCAGATGAGATATGTTTCAATGTAGAAATTCTTAAACAGAGAGATTAAAGACTAAAACCCAAGATATCTTCAGTTATCACTTATCATATAAAACAAAGTAACTATGAAGTATTACAAGTTACATTTTTTTCCTTAGGACAAAGCAAAATGTCCTCATTCAAGTTCCATTTTTGGGACTGTCACAGGAATTGCTAGTAGAAAATCTATATCCTCAGGACATCAGACGATTGTACTGTTCCCGTCTGACCTTAAACTCCTTGAAATCAAAATTATTCTCTGGTGCCATCTAACGACACTGAGAGGTTCACATGAGAACCAAGCTCCCAGAGCTTTCACAGTAATTCTATTTTTTCTCCACAATAGTGTAGTGGAAGTTTGCTATACATAGTAACACTTATAGGTGTGGTTTTTTTACAAATATCCTCCTCCTTAAAACACACTTCTTCCAGAAGGCCTGTAAAACTCAAACCTTTCCCTGCAGAGAAGTATTAATATACTTAACTGATACAAATACTTACAAAAGTTGAGAAAAATTAGGAATCCACAAGATATACCTTAAATGTATCTGTCAGACACTTCTGTTGGGTACCTGTGATATTGTGCAATATCTCTGACTGCAGGCAGGCTCAGAACCCCCTTTAGCATATAAAATATGACTTTGCAGTTGGAAGGCTGTCTGGGTGCCTATGGTGCAAGCAGGGGCGGTGGGTATAATTGGCCAGAGGAGACTAAGTCTCCCTGAACAGGAAGCGGTGCACCTCCCTTTGGAGGCATGCCGGACGGCTGCCTTTAGAGCGCTGCCTCTGAAAGGGCGCTCGGGCCCTAGCTCTGTCCACCCTGCTTCCCTTCCTACCCCTCCTCTGCCTCTTCCCCTGAGGCCCCACCCTCGCTCCCCCTCTTCCCATCCCCACTCCTCCTCTTCCTCCAAGGCCCCCCCACCTACTGCTCATGCCTCTCCATCCCTGGCGGGCGGAAGGGACCTCAGAGGAGGGCACGAAGAGGCGTGAGCAGTGGGGAGCCGCCCTCAGGAGAAGGGGCAGAGAGAGGTAGGTGGGGGGGGAACTTTGGGGGAGGGGGCGAAGAGAAGAGCCCTGTGTGGATATAAATTGGTATCTGTGGAGCTACAGGGCTCTACCAGGAACCGCAGTGCTGAAAGCAGCAGCATGTTGGGCCACCGCTTCCAGGAGCCAGTGCCTGGGACTGGCAGCTCCTCCAGCGTGGCTGTAAAGTGGGGGTCCACACCCTGTGCTCCACCCCAAGGCCTGCCCCTGCTTGGCCTCCTTCCCAAGGCCCCGCCCTGAGGCCCGCTCCACCCCCACCTCCAAGACCCCCCCACCTCTCGCACCTCTTCGCTAGAGCCTTGCACAGATACAAAATTTATATCCATGGATATAAATCAATATCTGCGGAGCTGCAGGCTCTACGGGGAACCACAGTGGCAAAAGCAGCAGCATTTCAGGCCACTGCTTCCAGGAGCCAGCATCCCCCGCCGGCAGCTCCTCTGGCATGGCTGTACTGCCTCCAGCCCCACCCACTGGGAGAACTGCCAGTGAGCCTGGTGCCCACCCTGGTGGGCATGGGTGTTTCACTGACATCATTGTAGGATAGTTTGGGAAGGTGCATGACACACACATCTTCAGGAATACTGGCCTGTACAGAAAGCTGTAAGCAGGGACTTCCTTTCCAGACCAGAAGATTCCAGAGGGGGGCGTTGAAATGCCCATAGTGATCTCGGGAGACCCAGTATACCCCTTACTCCCATGACTCATGAAGCCTTACACAGGAAACCTGGACCGCAGCAAGAATCGCTTCGACAATAGGCTGGGCAGTGCAGAATGACCGTGGAATATGCCTTTGGCAGATGAAAAGTGCACTGTCACTTTCTTTATGGCAGGTAGGGTGACCAGATGTCCCAATTTTATAGGGACAGTCCTGATATTCGGGGCTTTGTCTTATATAGATGCCTATTATCCTCCACCTCCCGTTCTGATTTTTCACACTTGCTATCTGGTCACCCTAATGGCAGGTTAGACCAAAATGAGGAAAGCATTCCCATGATAATAGCAGACTGCTGGGCACTCCATAATATTTATGAGGCTAAAGGTGAAGTGTACAGAGGGTGACGGGGGTGGGGATAGGGTGACCAGATGTCCCGATTTTATAGGGACAGTCCCGATTTTTGGGTCTTTTTCTTATATAGGTTTCTATTACCCCCCCCCACACACACACCACCTGTCCCGATTTTTCACACTTGCTGTCTGGTCACCCTAGGTGGGGAGGCTTTGAGGCAGCAATTTTGACAATGAGCACTAGTAATGTGTCTTCCTATACAGCACTCTGCCATGCTTCGTTAACTTGCCACCTTGCATGAAAATTTTGATGATTCCTGACCGTGATTTGTAGTCAGCAAATGATCAAATTGCCACTGTATATTAATTCCAGCAGCAACAACCGTGTGCAGGAGACAAATAAAGATTGGTTATCTTTCAGAACGTTTGTTTTTATTAAATAACAATTAACAACACACACACAAGAGTTCGTGGGAAGGGAGATAACAGTGAAGGGCAGTGTAGGCTCTCATAGCTGTGTGTAAGTCCAGCTATCATTTTGGAAGCAGTCTGAAGGGGTGGAGTGAACAGGGTACAGAGATGTACCAGGAAGTTGTAAGGAGTGTGTGAGAGGAGTTTGGGGAGGGCTTAGAAAGCAGTTCTGTATCGGCTGCGGGGTGGGATGGGGGGCGAGCACGCATGTGTTCTGTCTGGAGTGTGATTAGGGACTTCAACATCTGTTTGCTCCTCCATCACTTTTATCATCTGCTCCTGGTCCTTTAAAATGCACTCCTCACTCTCCTTTCTGTCCTGCCTTTCTATTTTAAAATTTCTCCTTGAGGGTCTCTCTCCACTCCCTGCATTCTCTTTTTTCAGCTTCTGAGGATTGGAACACCTCTTTGAACATGCCCTCCTTGCTTTGCTTTGGTCGCTTCCTTATCTGGCAGAGGCACTCTGCTGGTGTGTAGTGGGTTCCCCTGAAGGCCACATCTGCAGAAGCACAAGAAACAATACACAGAAGTATGATTGTTAGTTCATACATAGCATTGAATCATAGTAAAATACACCTCTTGTAACATACCAATCACTTTCTCACTGTCCCTTGGCAAGCACACATCTCTGCGAACACCCTAAACATGGTGAGTTCGGCCCCGGTGAGAGTTGGGTATTCAAGATGAGGCAAAGGGTCTAGTTGATTTTTTAAGTGGATCATTGCAGGCAACTAGGGACAATACTGTAAATTCTGCCACCATTTTCCATAGGCAAAGGTCACTGAGGCCAATATCTCATTCCTGAGGGTAAGCGTGCAGCTTCAGACCCTGTCCCTATGTTGCTCACCTGTGTGCCACACAAGTGATTGCTGAGTTGTGAGGGAAAGTTTCCTACGATGGGGGAAGGAACAAAGCAGTTCTGCCAAGGAAACTCTGACAGAGGATTGCTGAATACCTGCAAGAAAGTTTCCTAGAGATCTCTCTGGAGGATTCCTGTGAAATCTTGGTGTGCATTAACACACTGTTCCACCGTACTGCTTAGCTGCAGAGGGGAATTTGGAGCACACTCAAACAGTTAGTCTTGCACATTTCTATGCCTTCACCCACTTCTACAATATACAGATCAAAGGACAGCTGTATCCTGTTTCCTGTATCGTCATATAACCAAGCAGCATCAACTCAAAAAGATCACTTACCAGGGCTCTCCTCTTCTGCATCATATGCCAGAGACAGGCTGCTGGGACTGGCTAGACCATTCCAGAGTGGAAAGAGGTCCTGACTTACCACACCACCAGACAACCCTGCTGTGTGCTCCACATCGTCCTTCAACTTGAACTCCTCGTCCACAACTTTGTCCTCAGGGTTAGCTCCATTGTCCACTGCCTCCAGCCTCACCAAAGTATCCATGGGGTTCTTGCCAGTGGAGGTGGGGTCGCTGCCAAGGATGGCATCCAGAAGTGGCAGGTCTTTGGTGCAGCACCAGAGCAACGGTTTGCCTTCCTTGCCTTCTGGTATGCCTGCCTCAGCGCCTTTATCTTCTCACAACACTGCATTGTGTCCTGTTCATAGCCCTTTTCCGGAAAGCCACGAGAAATCTGCCTGTAGGTACTGAAGTTCCTATAGCTGGAGCAGAGCTAGGACTGCACAGCCTCCTCTCCCCACAGATCCAACAACTCAGCTGTGGTCCTAGTGGGAGAGCATTTGCCAGGTGGAGCTGTAATGGTCAGTTGGGAAGATGCAATGTGAGCACTCCACGCGGCGCAAACAGGAAGTGGAATTTCAAAAATTCCCGGGCCTTTAAAGGGGGAGGAGGGAATGCCAGTGTACCTGGGTGCAGGTGCAGGGCAGTGGAGTTTGAACAGCTGACCAGAGCAGTTAGGATGGGCATTGTGGGACATCTCCTGAAGACCATTTACAGTGACAAAACCAAGTACGGTGTCTACACTGACACTCTGTCAATCTAACTTTGCCACAAAAAGCTCTACGCCTCTCTTCGAGGTGGTTTTATTTTGTCAGCAAAGCAGGAGAGTTTTGCTGGCAGGAGGAGCATTGTAATGTGTACACCTCCACTGTTTTGTTGACAAAAGCTGCCTTTTGCTGACAAAACTCTGTAGTATAGACAAGGCTTGAGATGCTGTAGTATTCCCCTACGTGCTGGGTTGTCCACCCCACACAGGAGTGGAAGGGGTTAATGGAGGCTAGATGGGTCAATTAACTGGTAAACTGAAGGCTAAGGGGAAAGCCCTAATTAAAGGAACAGGCTCACCTGTGCAGGAACAGGTGGGGCCTGTATAAAGCCAAGCAGCTGGCTGCAGACAGGGGCTGCGGGGAAGTAGACTGAAGTCACCCCCTCAGTGGAGGGAGTTGGTAGGCTGTCAAACCTGGGGGAGGAGCCAAATAGGTAGGAAGTAGCTCAGGAAAACAGCAGCAAAGGGTAGGACAGTACAGAGAGCTTGGATGCTTGTTATAAGGTCCTTGGGCTGGAACCCTGTGTAGAGGGCAGGCCTGGGTTCCCCTACCAATCACTGGAGATGCCTGCCTGCCAGCAGGTCTGGAAAGACTGTGAATTCCCCATAAGGGGGGGACCTTAGTGACCTGGCCTAAGGTCCAAGACATGAAGAGGAGACCACAGTCCCTAGAGTGAGAGGGGCAGCATGGCAAGACAGGAAGGGGGAAGACATCACCAGAGGGGGAGCGCAAGTCTGGCAGAGCTAATTCCCAGGATGGCCAGCACTGCTAGGGGTGAGTGAACCCCATGACACCCTATAATCAGGAATGGATCACAGAATCTCTGTAGAA